ATCTATCTATCTATCTATCTATCTATCTATCTATCTATCTATCTATCTATCTATCTATCTATCTATCTATCGTATCCATCAACTAAAGTGGCACAATTATCTGGCCTTTTTTCCCCAGCAGCAGTTGAAAGAAAACCAAAAGATTAATCTTTGTGTATATTTAATAGAAAGACAGAAGTATAAAGGTGGGGGTAGACTCATATTGAAAGTGGGGGGAAAGTCTTGTTCTCTCTTCTGTGAAACAGATTGCTTATAGAAGAAAATAGGGGAATCCTATGCAGATTAGTTTGAGCTCTTGATTGAAAGAAGGTTATTACTCTAATAAATCAAATAAATGAACATATGTTTTTCCTTAAAATAGTGTCTTCTCCCTCATCCCAATCAACAATTGCTTTACTAAGAAGAGGTATAATATTTGCTCATCTAAGGTCTTTGCAGTAATTTTCCAGACCTGCCCTCCCAAATTTCTGGAAAGCATCAGGCAACAACTAAATTGCAAATTTATGCAGATTCTTGTTCCAGTCAATACACAATTCCATCACCATAACAAACAGCATAAATGATTAAACAAAAAGTCTAATAATTACATTCCTTTTACATAGGAAAAAAAATGGAAAAAATGCAATCTGGGTATATTTCTACTTTTTGTGCAGACATATGTACACACCTCTTGCCTATTAAAAAAAATACTACGGTAACTAATATTGGTGCTAAATGAAGCTGTTCAGTTCACATACTAGTGGCACTAATTTTATATATTTTAATTCTTTCCCCCAAATATAATATTCTTTATGCTATATTTGTATCTGAAATGCACCACATTGTAAGCATGCAAACAAATATAGGAAACTTGTTCATTTAACCAGCATTGTTTACTGCAGCATTGTTTATACTAATGATAAAACAGATTATAATTATTATTTGTGTAATTATCAAGTTGATCAAACTATTTCCTATTTTGGAAAAAGCCATAATTTATGAATTACAAATTCCAACTTATTTATTCATTTATTACAATATTTATATTAGGCATGTCCAATCCATAGCCCATGGGCTACATATGGCCCTGGACAGACCCACAAGGTAATAAAAATATAAAACATAAAGGAAGTTTGCTATTTTGAAACATTTACTATATTTATATAGTTAATATATTATACAGCCCAAGATAATTCCTCTTCATTCAACCCGGCCCAGGCAAGCCAATAAGGTTGGACAACCATTATTTATATCCAGACATTTAAAAATCCATGAAACAACCCATAAAATTCCAAAACAAAACAAGGGAAGAAACAACAATTTTAAAACCCTTGGATCCCAGATACCAGCAAAAAGCTACTTTTCCATCTTCCTGAAGACAGCGTGGCACCAATGTGGCTTCTAAGGGCATTTCCATAATAAGGGGGAAACCACATAATCATTGTTTTAACAACGGGGCTATGTTTGAGCTATGATGTGTTTTTTGCTAGCTTCATACAATGTACTAAGCCATTGTTTGTAACCCACACTTTAAGTTCACACCTGCTGAGCCAAAAATAGGGCTACCATATCTGTTCCCCAAAGGGACACGGTGGCTCAGTGGCTAAGACACTGAGATCAGAAAGGTCAGCAGTTCAGTAGTTTGAATCCCTAGCACCGCGTAACGGAGTAAGTTCCTGTTACTTGTCCCAGCTTCTGCCAACCTAGCAGTTTGAAAGGATGTAAAACTGCAAGTAGACAAATAGGGACCACTTTGGTGGGAAGGTAACAGCGTTCTGTGTGCCTTCGGCATTTAGTTATGCCAGCCACATGACTACGGAGAAGTCTTGGGACAGCACTGGCTCGACAGCTTTGTTATGGAGATGAGCACCAACCCCTAGAGCCGGAAACACCTAGCACGTATGTGTGAGGGGAACCATTACCTTTACCTTTATCTGCATTGGAAAAATCATGATGACCATGCAAAGCTTTAAAAAAAACTTGTAAAAAATTCTAATCTTTTGCTGCCTTTCAATAGTAACCTTGATATTTTTTCAGTCCAGATGTAATACAGTAACCCTAGCCAAAACCAAGCCAAGCATTTAGCATGATGTATGAGCCAAGTTGTACCTTTGGCTTAATCCTCATTAATTTTGCTCACTATGAAAAAGACAGGAGGCAAAAGCAATCGATTTCCAATCTAGCTCTCACATACAATCTGCCAAGCATCAAGAGTCGCTGTCTCTTCTACTCTTTTCTCAACAGCACAACCCACAACAGTCATCTATCTTTGCAGGTAACTAGAACAAAAGGAGATTTAAAAGAAATCACAACAGCTCTGACAGCAAGACTGTATGTTCAAAGTCCTATTTTAACCTTAGCATGCTGACTTGCATATCACCCAAAATGCAGTGTGAGATGGCGTTGAGTATATCTAGTGGTGCCTCTTTCTACATTATTCCAATTTATCAGTGCTATTTATCACTTTGCTCGAAGTAACCATTCCCTCCTGCCAGATGTTCCTCTACCATGTATACCGTCTAATTTTGCTTCTCCCTAGGATAATTTTAATGGACTCAACAGCTGGACTAATTTACTTCGGCAGACTCCAAATATTTAATGGAGTTCAATCACCTCCAATTCCCTATTGCAATGGTGCCCTTTTATTACCTTTATTAAAAATGGTTAAACTGCAACTGCCAGCTCATTTGCATGAGGACTCTTTATCTTCTATTTCCCAGGCACCTGCATCTTAGGTCACACAGCAGATAAGACCCACAAACCAGGGGAAAAAATTCTAGAATGAAAAGACAACACATTTTTGTTCTGGAATGAAGCTAACCAACACGGAGGCCCCAGATTTATGCATAGAGGTCTAATATTTTATCGTTTAATGCACATTATGAACTTCCTATAAAAACATTTAAGTAAGTTGGAACTATAGAACCTACATCATATCTTTCTATAATAAGTTGGCAACTACAAGTTTGGATAAGAGAGATGGTAAATCTATCTAATATAAGCAGTAGGATGCTTTGCTCAAGAAGAAGCGGAGATATTACATGGAGCAGGTGGACCATTTGCTACCAAGACTTTGTCCACTTTTAGGATATCAAGAAAGCCACGTCCATACAAAGAACATCTGATATTAGCAAATTAACTCTGGAGTATTTATTTGGAGAATAATTATTTGACCTGTTCTTGTCAAAACTTATCTCATTCAGGGAAAGATTTTATCCAACTTCTTCTTGGACTGCTGTCAAGAGGATGTTTCTCCTTAGAAAAGACACAGGTTCTAAGCTTGGAAAGGAACAAAGAAAGACAAACATAGTACTAACAGAATTCTGCTACTGTAGATGATAATATTAAATATGCTTTCTGAAGTAAGAATCTCATTGTGAGCAGATCCTTTTTCTTGAATTGGACAGAGGAAAAAAATTACATTCCAGAACGAATAAGAGGAACAATGTAATCATGACTTATGAGAAAAGCACGGATGTCAGCAACTTGTTGGAATGGAAATCTTAAAAAGAGCAAATGGCTAGGATGCAAACAACCAATACAGGTAGTCCTTGACTTATAACAGTTCGTTTAGTGGCTGTTTGAAGTTTACAATGGCTCTGAAAAAATGACTTATGACTATTTTTCACACTTACGACTGTTGCATGTGATTTGTATTCGGATGTTTGACAACTGACTCATATTTATGATGGTTACAACGTTCCAGGGTCACGTGATCCCCTTTTGTGACCTTCTGACAAGCAAATTCAATGGGGAAGCCAGATTCACTTAACAACTGCGTTACTAATTTAACACCTGCAGTGATTCACTTAACAAATGTGGCAAGAAAAGTCATAAAAAGGGGCAAAACTCACTTAACAAATTTCTCACTTAGCAACGTAAATTTTGGACTCAGTTGCAGTCATAAGTATTAGTTTGATGATTAAAATGGACAAGAACTCTTGAAAAATAAAGGACAACAAATTCTAAAACCACAAACGAAACCCCAAGTTCTTTTAAGTGAATAATCATGACTTTGCCTTATATTGAAAATGTTAACAGAGGAAAAGGAGATTTCCAGCAACATTACACTAATTTGGTAACATTACTAAAATTAACTGAGCTTTTCATCGTTTTGTTATCAAAAGTCTGCATGAACACAGCTCGACCTAAGGCCAGGCTAGAAATCATGAGCAGGCCTGGGGCCTCATATGACCCTCATCCTCATTGCATAAGTCTACTAATAGCAATTAATTCAGATTTCTATCCAAGTAAAATATGTCCCAGCCTGCTGCACATTGAGGGGGAGAGAAAGTAAAAAAGAGATGTGATAATGAGTAAGAGAGGAAATGTAGGCGGTTATAAAAAGAAATAAATTGGGTGATCTTCTCTATTTCCTACATTTACTCACTCTTCATGTATCACTCCCTAAAATTAATCCCTACTGAAGGCAGCTTTAAAAAGAGATCCGTTATTAACTCTGCTTAAGTTCTGATCATTGTATGTAAGTACACACACTCCTGTGTGCCATGATAATATTGGCTTTCATTTCCGGCTAAAATTGATCCGGTCCAATCAATAATGCATCATTATCATCATTCAAATTGTGCAATTTAATAAATCAACCATAGCAACTGTCTGTACTCGCCATAAAAAATGGAACATGGTCTTCCTCTTCATTTATTATCATCACATATGCTCATTTCAATCTGCAACCTTTGAATAAAATGAAATGTGTTTACCTGCCTCCTTCAAAATGACTGATGAGATCAGACACTTTACTAGTTTTTTCTTTCGAGACACAAGAAGAGATAGGTGTAATTTCCTCCATTCTTGGCTTCGTAGTACACAAAGCTTTAGACTTAGGGGTTTGGTGGGTAATGGATGACTGTGAATTCTGCAGATGTAATGGCTTTGGAGGCACTGCAAAGAAAAAGCAATACTACTTTTCATATTCGTAGGAATTTCACACACCAGTGCTATTCAAAGCAGTGACTTTAAAACTTGTCTTCTTCAATGTGATGCCCTCAAAAAAATTTTGAAGTACCACACTCACATTCTTCAAGTCAGAGTGCCAGGAGTTCATTTACAAAATATTCAAGGCAAGTTTTTTCATTATTATAGATTCATAACTGATATTCTAATAATTTAGAAGTTAACACTATATCTGTCAACATTATGCTCTGCTGAAGGATGTTTCTTGGATTACCTAAAGGTAGATTTTTTTCATTCACTGAAAGAACACTTTAATAGAGAGCAATGCCTACTCTTATTACTAACTGGCATACATTAATATGTCTTGTGGGTATGCTTTGGCCTGTTTTTTTTTACATCCTAGATATCTAAAAAGATAAAGATATACTTGCAATCTGGTGCTCTACTGTTCATTCTACCAATAGTCCACCCAACAGATCATGAAACTAAGTTATTTTCATTATTATCCAGAAATCAATAAGATTGTTACTGGATATGAATTTAACCAACTTATTCTGAGCATCCCAACTTCTCTTTCTAGAAATGACACTGTAATCACATTGAAAACACTTAGATTTTTCTCAGATGTCTGAAGTGTTAGTAATTTTCTCTTATCTGAAAGATTGCATAATAAAGCTCATTAAAACAACGTATCATCAAAGGGGAAGCCCCTTATATAATCAGATGTTAGTTTTCTTTGGTCAAATGTTCAAAAATATAAAATGTAACACAGAATATTTATTTAATGACTACCTCATTTAGCAACCATTTGCAGTTACAACAGGGATGAAAAATCTCTAACTTTATGGCCAATCTTCACATTAATGACCTTTATAGGTCTATAAAGCAAAGGAAAGCTTTAAAAAGATTGTAAACACAGTCATGGTTTCAACTAATGCCCACTTCACTTAATAACCAAGTTGCTGGTCCTAATTGTGATTGCTAAACTAGGACTACCTATGTGGGATATTCAAAAAACAATCCATCCAACTTCAAAGCTCTGTAGGCCTAGTTTCAACTTTCTCCTTACATCAGGAGTGTCAAACTGCCGGCTTACAGGCCAGATGCATGCGTAGGCCACGCTCACCCCAGCTCCGCGAAGGGAAAAACATCGTTGAACATCACATGATTGCAACATGACACCACGAGTTTGACACCTGTGCCCTACATGATTTCATACAACCTGGCTAAAAAGGCAGGAAGATGTGATGTCTTCCAACATAGAATAAAGACTAGGGAAATTACATCTATCGACTCTTGATTCTTGATGGATGTATCTTTTCTTTTATGTACACTGAAAGCATATGCACCAAGACAAATTCTTGTGTGTCCAATCACACTTGGCCAATAAAGAATTCTATTCTATTCTATTCTATTCTATTCTATTCTATTATTATTTAGTGTATGGCCTGTCAGCAGTTGCTACTACATCTACTACTAGATATTACTATATTACTACATCTATCACAGATATAGGCTTATGCAAAAAGAATATACATATTTAAGACTGGCCTGGTGATGTGGATTATTTGATTCTTTCTCCATCTAGAAACACAATTTACTTTTAATGTCACACTAAGTATCAATTACAGAATATGTGAGCAAGCTTTTAATACTGCCAACATTAGGGAACAATTGCAGCTTAAATATGCTTTATCAATCCAGCATTTAATGAGAATGGAGAAACTCCAAATTCCTTTTTATCAGATTTCTGAAGTTAGGTGAAAGGACTAATGTCAGGGCTACCAGCCAAGTGGATCTCCAAAAGCTGCAGTTTCCATATAGTTAGGGAGATTACAACTATAGAAAAGGAGCTAGTAAAGGCTTTACTGCTACTACTGCTACCTCCATGCCACCAACAAAGATTAAGAACTTTAATTCAGCTGTGGGCCATTGCTGCAGTACTTGATCATTCTAACACATGAAGTTGTCGCAAACAAAATTATCTACAAGCCAACAAGTCTGCTCCACACAACCAGAAACGCATAGAGATTTATAAATCAATTATTCCAGGATGTAAAGTATGGCACACAACAGAGTAAAAACAATTGTAACAATAAAATCACAGCAGCATTTCAACTGATCTTCTTCTATAATAAACTCAGAGAAGAAAAAGCAATGAAATTGTCAGGCGCAAACAACCAGATCAACACATGCAGAGTTCAAGCTAACTACTATATTATGTTCTACCTATTAATACAGAAATTTCCCCAGACTGGCAGACTTATCTTGGGAACAAATAGATCAGGGGTGTCAAACTCAATTTCATTGAGGACACCATCAGCATTGTGTTTGACGTTGGGGGGGCTGGGGTGTGTGTGGCCAGCTAAATGTCATTTGTATTAGGGGCGCCTTTGATGGCCCGAGCACTCTGCCAGCAAAAAGGGGAATAGTCTCCTGCAATCCTCTGCCAGGGAAAACTGAGCCCAAGAGGGCCACATGTGACCCTCCTGAGTTCCATTTTTCCTGGCAGAGGCACTGTGAACCAATCCTTCACTGTTTCCAGTGCAGCCCCCAGGCCAGATCTAAGCACCCCACAGACCAGATCTGGCCCCTGGGCCTTGAGTTTGACACCCTGAAATAGATAATGCTCCAGGAACTTGAGGGGGGGAGAGAGTGGGTCGGACCTAGCCCTTTCATGATGGCACAGTGACTCCAGACTAACTTCATGTTTGTGCTCTCCTCCCTGCCAAGACATTCTAGGATAACTTGCTACAACTCATCAAGGCCAACTCACCACTGGACAACTCACCATGTCATACTAACATCAAGAAGTACTTGGCATAGCTAGTCTAGTGAAGAGAAGGACATGGGGAGACATGATAGCAGTGTTCCAATATGTGAGAAGCTGCCACAGAGAGGAAGGGGTCAAGCTATTTTTTAAAGCACCCGAAGGCCAGACAAAGAATAATGGATGAGAACTGATCAAGAAGAAATTCAATCTAGAAATAAGGAAGAATTTTCTACAGTGAAAACAATCAACCAATGGAAGAGCTTGCCTTCAGAAGTTGTGGGAGCTTCATCACTGGAAGCTTTCAAAAAGAGACTGGACTGCCATTTTGTCAGGTTAATGATGATTGAATAGCTGACCAGCTACTGTAATGCTGTAATGATGATTCAATGGTAGCAATGAGTCAGCAGGGTTATTTGACTGCTACCACTTTAAGAGGCTGTAATGTAAGAGAGACCCTGTGAGGGCGTATCTCTCTCTCCATGTATGCTTCTGTGGTGTAGCTGATTACTGATTGCTGTTTGTTCAAGGCCTGTATCAAAGTACTTGTATGAATGTATGCTTTTCTACAGATAAAACCACCATATGTAAATACAAACCTGTGTGCTGTATTTGCTCCTGGGTTGTCTCACCTAGTCACACTATGTGCATTCTGACACATTTGTCAGAAATGGTGTAGGGTCTCCTGCTTAGACAGGGGGTTGGATTAGAAGATTATAATTATATATATTATTATAATAATTATACATTATTATAATAATTAAAGAAAGGATGTCAAAGGAAGGGCAAAATGAAATGTGAAAGACAAAAATTAAAATATTTTTAATTATTTTAAATAATTGAATCAAATTGTCCCACAACAAGTTGGTCATGGTAAAGTTGGCTGTGTTGAGTTTACCATGGCAAGTCGGCAACAGCAAATTGTTCCATTCTGCTTCCAGGTTGGGGGCTTCCCAACAAAAATGATGGGAACATAACCGGAAGGGCAATTCTCACAATTACTCTATTTTTATTGGAAGTGCCATAACAACTGACTATACAGGGAGTCCTTTACTTACGACTGGTTGCTTAGTGGTCATGTGACTGTAATATACCATGTATCTTTCCTAGAAACTGGTGTTTATTTCCAGTGTCTGGCAAAAATAGTCCCATAGCAAACAGGGATATTTGCTTAACACTGCAGAAAAGGTTGTAAATTGAGTGTAATCATGTGATAACTCGTTTGATGATCATCAAGGTTTACAAATGAACTCAACTGCAGCCACAAGTTAATGACTAAATTTTCCTCTAGAACAGACTAGGAGGATCGGCACCAGGTCGCAGCATGCCAAAAACTGGGCCGTGCAAACAAGCGAAGTCCCATCCACGGGATGCAGGCAGTATGCAAAGCCACTCCCCCTCCATTCCACGGAAAAAACTCTCTCCACGGAACCAGTCTCTGGTATCCAAAAGGCTGGGTGCCACTGATCCAGATCAACGAACCACAGACAATGGTTGAAAAATGAAATATACAATTCACAGAGATGATAAATTTTCTGAAGGGCAAGGGGAGAAACTGAAACCAATTTGCAAGGCAAAAGGAGAACGGAGGAGGAGGAGGAGGAGGAGGAGGAGGAGAAGAAGAAGAAGAAGAAGAAGAAGAAGAAGAAGAAGAAGAAGAAG